AAGGAAAATTTTGCTGAATGTGGGCACCGGGTCTTTCCCCAGCTATTGTTACCTGTGACAAAAGGGACCTGTTTAATCCGGAGGCAAGGAACACTTTCTATACTTTAATCTGTCTTCCTACAAGTAAAAGCAGAGTCAAAAAAGCAGAGTCCATAGTGACAGATGGACACAGATAAAATACAGTTTTTAAAAAGTACACAAAACCAAAACTACTGAAGCTTTGTTCTGCCCCTAGTTACACAAGAGCGAAACTTGATAGCAATTAGAGATTCCCAGCTTATGTTTAGAATGTAATGTTTCTGAAGTTTTGGATCGGTACGTGAGAAGCTCTGAAAAGCAAGAGTTTCTGGAAGAAACGGTGAACATTTAGCTTCAGTAATGGTACTTTCCTTTACTGTCAGCTAACTGAGGGCAAGGATGGGAAGGAGGGGAAGAAAGCAAGGCTTATTTTTACTCTAGGGAGATAGACGCCGACTTCCTCTTTGGAGTCTTCCCAGAAAACTCCTTTACAAAGACAAATTTAAATCTTTCTGTTTTCCATCCTTGAGGGTGGTAAATATGGTTGTCGTTTTACCCGTTTTCATTGTCAGTGACACAGAGTTCGGACCGGCCGCGGTACGTCATTTGTTGGATCGCTGCCACGGACTAATGCAGACGTCCCACTGGGAGCCCAGAGAAGCGCTGTGCTGTGATTCACCAGATTGTGTTAAATAGTCCAGCTGTTGCGATTTGAGAGATAGTTACCTCGGAAGTGAAATAGAAATGAACTTGGCATTTATGCCTCAAACCATTTTTATACTGTTTGGCAATCAGCTTTTCAGAGGTAGCATTTTATAAAATAACTCTCGCCGCTTAAAGGTTTCATTCACTGTAATGTTCAAAATGTCCCACCTTTATATTATCAGTAAGATTAAGCTGGAGCGATATTCAGAATTTGCATGAAATAAGCATTCCCCCCTTCATTTCCTGAGCTTTGATTGTATTCAATTGAGCTCAGAACCGTGTCGATTAGGGGCTCTTTGGGGCATTAGTTAATTTGAATTGCAGCCGAAATGTTAGCTAGAATGTTTTGGAATATAAGTGGGAGGTAGAAAGTTGATTTTGAAAGGAATTGTCATTGAATGCAAACAATGATGGGCCCTGGGGTGGCGGGGCGCGCAGAATGCTTCTCTTCTGTCTCCTCTGACACAGTCTGAGAAATCACCCAGTCCCTTTACCAAGTTCAGCTGTGGTGAAAACCGTTGGAGGCAGGTTCTGATTCTTTTCCCACCAGTATGGTTTGGGGTCCAATATCTCCTTTCACCAGCATGGTGCAGGGCTCAAGTTCACTTGCCAGAACCCCTTCTTCTGGCTCTTCTTCAATTCTAGCTTTGCCTTTGTTTTGTCTTAAAACAACTGTTGAACGCATGATCCAGAATGATCCATGGATAAGGTCATTTGAGTGGATCACAGATAACAAGTCTTTGGGAAAAGAAGAAAATCCTGGCTAAGGTTCTACAGTTTGGGCCCCAAGACAGCAGATACAGGCTCTGTGCCAGGGGATGGGTGGAAGGTTCCCTTGTTCCCCTGGAGGGTGCATCTGACAGGGGAGAGAAGGACTGATTCACAGTCTTCCTCATTCTCCGTGACTCAGCAGTTTTGCTTTACTGATTCTGCTCCTCAAGAGAAAGGCCGCCACGCTCTTTATGCGTATGAACTTTAATTGATTATTTGTGGTCAGTGTCCTCTGAGGGAGAAAGGACTAATTCGGGCTCAGTTTGAAGGTAGAGTTAGCCCATCGTGGAAGGGGAGATGTGGCAGCTGAAGGTTGAGGCAGCTTTTCTCATTACATCCCCAGTTAGGAAGCAGAGGGGCGGACAATGAACGCTACAGGTTGGCTCTTTCTTCCTGTTATTCGGTTCAGGATACAAGCCCAGGGAATTGTGGCGCCATGTTCAGGACATGTCCTCCAGCCTCGATTTACCTAGTCTAAATAATTCCACACTGGCGTGTAGCATACTCAGAGGCCTGTCTCCTGAGTGAGTCTGGAGAGACATCATAGGGATAGAAAGAGAAGGTTGCCCTGGGAGGAAGGCTTCTCATCATGCGAGCTTTGAGCAGCTCCAAGGGACCTAGTGATATCAAACCAGGAAGGACTACAAACCGCAGCTGGAGGGGTGGGCTTTGCCCCTTGCTGATCTGAACGCTGCGGGTGGAAACAATGGAAATACACTGGTGAAAGTGTCCACAGTTAGCCTGCGGCACCAACGTTCTATCTGGGAAATAGCTCCATGTTCAGGAGTAGGCAGAAAGGAGGCAGCTCAGACTCTTGCACTGGCTCTGCTACCTGTGAGCAGCCAGCGCGCTCCTAGGCCAGGTTCTCATCCCTGTCCACCTTGCTCTGGGGTTCCCGGGCAGTGCCACTGTGCCTAGTTCAGTAGTGAAAGTCAACCATGGGGTTCTCAGGCAGGCCAGCGAATGACCTCTCAGATGACAACACAGATAAGAAACAGTGACGGAGACAGTTCCGGAAACAGTCTCAGCCCAACAGTAGGAGGCTTCTAAGCTTTCAGCTCCATCAGCCTGTGTGTTGCTGCCACAGGATGCTGAGAGCACTTCCTGGAAATGTCTGTTCCCCAGCTGATGAAGACAGCTTTTGCTAGGAGTTGTTAACCATCCTTCGCCTGCAGATATGCAGAGACACGCCAGCACCCACAGTAGTCTGGCGGAGCGGCCAAGGTCAGTATGAACTGGCGGTAGTTGCTCTCTCCAAGTGGCGGATTGAGAGACACCACCTTTGCATGCTTCCAGCAGACTGGCTGGCTGACGGCAGGGGGCTCACAAGCAAGCTGGTGAAGCCGACTGGACTTGACCTGCAGACTAAACCTAAACTAAGCTGCAGTTTGACCTCCTGGGATCCCCCGTTTTGTTTGTGCCCAGTTTCTGGTTGGCCGTGAGCGAAATGCGCTTGAGATGTAACAAGGCAGAAGTGAGGTCATAATAAACCCTAGAAGGTTCATGTATAGCAGTCTCTGGGATAGCTTATGTAGGGCATGATGTGCTAACTCGCCTGACTGGCATGTGGCAGTGACCGGCCTATGGATCCATTCTGCAGCTCCTCCCAGCTTCTCCAGCTTGCCCACCTCCTGGAACTGATGCATGTGCGGTTCCAAGCGATAGGGCTCAGCGCGCCCTGCAGGGCTGGTGCATCAGCCTGGTCGGCCTTTGTCAGACACAGATGCATTTCTAGCTTGTCTTTGAGCTCTGCCAGTTACACCTAAGTTCATGCATAGAGACAGCAGACTCTTACAGATTACCTGACAGTGTCCCCTGTTGCCTGGATCTCATTCCTCTAACAGTGCTTATCGGTGGCTCTGCTTTTGTGATAGTGACGTTGCCTGGATCGGAACAGGTACTATCAAGGAAATGGCATCCCAACCCATCTCTAGGACATAGTAGCAGGTGTTCTGAGAAATGTTTCACTGGCTGAAGTAGAAGGACAGTACCATCATGGTCTTTGTGTTCTCCATTCCTGAGCATCTCCTTCCTTTTACTTCTCCCAAGGAAGACAATGCTATGTGGTAACTACACAGGGTGATGGTCAAGTCACGCCTTTACTATGACTGACAGCTAGAGAATGACTTTCAAGCGTTTGGAAGGAGCTCTTAGTGATAAGCATGGTCTTTGGGTTCAGACTTTTGTGCTTTGTGAGCAGGTCACGTAGGCCGCCTTCCATAAGAGATAGCTTGTTCTGTTTCCGTGCACAGAAGAGACCTCCAGCTTTCCTCACCAAAGCTTTCTCTCTGGATCTTCTCTAGTTATTATTCATTTGTTTACACGTGATCTGCACTAGGTGCTAGGGATTAGGCAGCCCCTGCCCCATATGTTATCTAACTGTGGTAAGTTCCGACAGGGAGAGGCACTATGAGAGTAGCTCAGAAGATCTGACCTGCAAGAGGGCAGGGCACTGGGCAGACGCTAAGCAGTGACTCTCCATCATGCATCGGGCGGGCCTGCGGTTTCCTGACTCATGGCTCTCTGGGGTGAAAGAGTCATATCCTGGAATTGGCCAGGAGGACCAGAATAGTCTTGAGAGCATCAGAGCTGCTGGACTTTCTCTAGGCAAGTCCTGCAGCCCAGAATCAACAACCCAGGGCAGGTGCTGACCGTGACATCTGAGAGGACTCGGGGCCCACAGCCTGATACTTGGCAAGAGATTATGTTTGAGGGACACCTCCGTTCCCACAAGGAAATGTCACCTGCCTGGCATGGAAAACAACAGCTTCTTGCATCAGAAGGGAGGCAACTTCCAAGGGACAGGAAACTGCTTCTAAAATTCTGTAAGAAACGTCTCGAGACCCACATTCTCCTGACTAGAGAAGTTTCCGATCACAGTGTTGGAGCTTATTCCTTGAGCTCCCTCTTCAGCCCTTTCCTCCGCCTACCTCCTCCTGAGGTCGGGATTCCCTCCTGGGTGGTAATGGCTGTGGTGGGCACAGCTGGCTGCCACTCTCATCTACCCATCCCTGAGCCAGGGTGATCCCCAACCCTCTCCACGCAGCTCCTCACAGCTAAGCTGCAGACAGCTGTGCTGGGGGCCAGGGGGCGTGGGGGACGGGCTTAATTCTTCCTAGCTGTGCCAGGGTGGTAGGTAGGGCAGGACTGGCGTGGGCAGTGTTTGGAAATGCACAGTGGAGCCAGGGCTGCGTATTTCCTGAGAGGAGTATGTGATTAAGCAGGTAGGTGCATTTGGCTTTGTACTACTTCCGTAGTTAATCGCCTTGACTTTTCCTGCCTTCTCTTTTCTGGCCTTCTGCTCCTATTATGTAATCTAATAGCTGCTGCTTCTCCTTTTTTTTTTTTTTATGGCTTGCATCTCAAAGACTACATGCTTTGCATGTTGGTTAGGCTTAGGAGTTTGTTTTTTTTTTAATTGTTGTTATTTTCCTGGATCCAGGAATCTGAAAGTCAAATGTTTTCTCTGCTTTGTACGTTTTCTATTTAACTCTCTCCTCTTGTAGGCCTCCCAGTAACGGTGGACGCAAGAGACAATGTGTGGACAGTGAGAAGCAGGCTGAGCCAGCTGTCGTTTTAGATCCTGTTTCCACACGTGAACCCCAAACCAAAGACCAGGCTGCTGAGAAAGACCCAACTCAATGCAAGGAGGAAGGAGGTGAAGCACAGCCCGAGGACAAGGAGGACAGCCGTGGGAAAGCGGGAGAGACAGACAGTTCCAACTGCTGATCTGGGGCCAGCGGCCGGCGCGTTTGCGGGCCCTTGTCCGTAAGCATGTGGCTCTTTCGGGTTACTGTCAAGGACCGTTGGACACTTCCTTTGTTCTGGCCACACACTTCTTTGCTGGTATCACTTTGTAAGTAGCAAGTATAAACATAAGTAAGCTGTTTAGCAAGGTGCATCTTCTGGGTAGTTTTTTTATCTTTGTGGGATAAGGGTTCTTTCTGGTTTCTACGTGGAGTGTGACTTCTTCGAGAAGGTGGCGGGAAACTCGGGTGTTGATGTCTTTGTTGGGAATTGTGCGCACTATTCTTCAAATGTATCCATGATGAAATTCAAGGTGGTGCCAGAAACTGGGCAGACAGAGGCCACAAAACTTAACCATGATCTTTAAAGGCTCCCTTTAATCCAATCCTTCTGTGTGCAGCCCTAGCAGCCTGGAAGTCCGTGGGTCCAGGAGCATCTCCGTTTTGTAGAGTTGCTGCAGTAAGTGATATCTTGTTTATGGTCTAACAAAGTTTGCCTGACGATCAGAGAAGCAAAGCAGCCAAGCTACTAGAGAATTCTTAACCTCTATTGAACAGAGCAAGTTCCTGTCTCATTCTGCCTTATATTCCCGTCTAGTGCTGGGATTAAAGGCGTGCACCACCACAGCCTGGCCTCTGTGGCTAACTAGTGTGGCTACTGTGATTACAGGTGTGTGCCAGCACTGCCCAGCCTATATAGCTGACTAGTGTGGCTAGCTGTGCCCTATCTTCAGGGAAACTTTTTGTTAGATCATAAACAAAATATCACTATAGGGTGCGCTGAGACCATCCATGGGAGAGCTCCAGAGGTGGCAAACGGCTTCTAGGTCTCTTAGCTCCAAGTTGATCACAGTTAGCTCCTTTAAACATGTGAAAAACATGCCCGTGTCCAAGGCTTGCCAAGGATTTCGGCAATGAAATGGAAGCCCAAACCTTGAGTTTAGAAGGAATACCCTGGCAAACCACATACTCCTGTGTTTCCCACACACTCACGTGGCACAAGCACCGTATTTTACTCCAGATTTTACGCACAGTGAAAATTAGTGACAAGCACACTTATTTTTTCTTGCTTCACTGCCGTTCTATATTACATGGGTCTTTTCTTGTTTTGTTTTTTTTAGAGGAAATTAAGTGGTAGTTTCTAAAAATACAATGTTTCATACTACCACGAGGAATAAATAGAAATGTAATCAGGGATTTAAAAAAAAAGCAACTTATGCAGGTTTTCAAGTCGATTGTTTCAAAATTGGTGTTTATTTAAAATAAGTGGTAATGTACTTGAATGCACTTTTTATGATAATGATTCAGTAATGGTAATTTTACTATTAAAGAAAGTGAAAGGCTTAGTTTTGTTAGCATGACTCAGCATGTAGTTGTCAGGTGCTTAGCACCTAAGGGCAAAAGAGAATGATAGTAACAATTGCAGTAGTTGTGTCCTATTGTGTTTCTGCACGTGTGCTGCTAGTGTAGGCTTGAGGCGGTGGGGAGGCAGGTGAGAACACTTCCTCAATTTGGAGACAATTCTCTTTCTGTAGGTTCATTAGCTTTTACTGTTTCCCTGTTTCTTCGGTGCTGATTTCATGGCTCCCTGTCAGTTTACTCATGGGGAATTAAAACATGATTTTTTTTTCAACTGTGTGTTTCCATAACTGAATGATATGCTCACCGCAAGTAGATTCATTTGTTCGGATGGGTTCTGCTGTGATTTGTGCTGTGATTTGAACTCTCCTCAACACAACACATTAAAAGAGACACACAACGATTTGTCATTAAGGGTCGGTTGTGGTTATTGACATCTTGAAGTTCTTCAGCCTGGAGGGACACTTAATAGAATTCTGCTTCTTGTGTGCTAGGCAAACTTCCGGCTTCCAGCCTACCTGCCCAGCCGCGGACCAACGCAGTCCTGCACAGTTTGGTCCAAGAGTGATATGATCTGTAACATCAGGAATCTTCACGAGCCGGCTCTCTTTGAGCAGCTCTCTTCCATGCTTCCTGAGTCTGCCACCAGGTTGATGCTGTGTATTTCACACACATCTGGCAATATGAGAGTAGGCACACCACCTTTCTATATTACTTCATCACAAGTATCAACAGAATTAACACAGTTTAAAAGCAGCCTCATGTCCAGCAGAAGTTAACCATGAGGTGAGATGCGCTGGCTCGACCAGGTGTCTAGCTGTGCCTGGTGTTGTAAAAGCATCTTTGCCTTTCCTGTACCACAACACCTTGCAAAGGACTGCAGTACACAGGTATTTGACGTAGACCTTTGCTCGTTCTTTCCTTACAATTTATTTTATTTTATTTTCACCTCAGCTTTAAGGTTCTGCCCTCTGCCAGGGTGACTGTTGGCAAAGCAGGTGGTGTTTGTTCCATCTTCAAGGTGAGCTCTTGGATGTGTGCACTCAACTCTTGCAGTCTTCAAGTTGGGAGGGACCACACATTTTTCCCTAGCAGGACATTTATTCTGCTGTAGCTCTCTTGACTGCTTCTGACACTTGTGTGACCACAGTCAGGCGCGGAGAGACATGCAGGCCCCTTGTGCCACTCTGTAAAGGATGATGACTCTCTCCTCTGCTGGGAGAGGAGGGACTTCATTAAGATGCCTGCAGCCCTTAGGTCTGAGCAAGTCCCACCCAAAGTCCCTGTCAGTCATTAGTTTTCCAGCCTGGGGCATCTGCTTGATAGGAGTCCCCAGGACAGGAGCACTCAGACTGGATTGGTCTGAGTAAACGGTGTGTGTGTATGCACATGTAACTCCTTCCCTACTTTCATGAACAGTAAGAGGGTTGTTACACAGGGAAGGTCAGCCTGACCATGAGTCATCTTCCCAGACCACTTTAGGTTGCATGTTGGCCAAGCGACAGCTTGTATGTGTCACATTCTCACACACATCCTGGAGTGCTTTTGCAAAGACCCACTATGTTCAAATCGCCTTCAGCAGAGAGCAACTTGAACGGTTGTGGAGGATGGGTAGCCCGTTTGTTACTGTTATAGAAGCCTGGGAATGGCTTCATATCTGTCACACGGTAATTTTATTCTAGGCTATGATGAATTCCTTTCATCTCTTTATAGATGATGTTATGCATTTTATCAGCAAGAGAAGAATGGGGAGAGAGAGGGAAGGAGCATGCAAATAAGAAAATGAATAAATAACAAAGAGAGGCAGTGTTTAGCCCTCTAAGAAAAGTACACCTAGCCATTGGTGCACCGTCCTCGAGCAAAGCTAGTATGAGCAGAGTGCATTCTGGGCCGACACTAAGGTACTGACCTGGTCGTTATTTCGCTCTGGTTTCAATGGTTAGAATTTATATCCATCGCAAGGCACACTCATGTCATGAGGACAACTGCTAGGGCCAGGTAAACACCTCCTCTTCTCCATCCTGACTTTAAAATGGATTTTCCTTTCAATTTCTGCTGCCCCACTGTTTGTTGTTAAGTGTCAGGAGAGACAGTGGCCACCACAAACTGTGACACATTTTCCCAGGCTTGGAGTGATGCTTACCAGTTCCCCATTCCATGCTTCAAAGAGATTGCCACTGAGCCAATCTCAAATCACAGTGCTGAGAGGGAGGGGGCTGGCTCTCCCATGAGGACATGATGTTCCCTTGGTCATTCTCCTCAAAACAGACTATTTAAGCCCCAACTGAAATGATTCTGCTGCAGGCCAGGACCCTGCGATTTATGTAGTCTTTAGTTACAAACAGCCCTTGTGCTAACTCACCTAACAAAGGACGTGGTAATGTAAAGGGTTGGCTGCTATTGTCCCCCTCTTGAATATTCACTTCGGTACTCTCGCTAAAAGCCCAGCACAGAAGAGGCGCATCTGTCAACATGAATTTGTCATCGTTGTTTTAACCACTGCTGCTCCTTTCTTCATGCTGTGGTGTCAATAAGATGGCACCGGACAATGTGTGAATATCCATTTGCAAGTGTACTTATTAAGTTATACCCACCTCTGTTCCAGAAAGGATCTAAGGAGAAAGTCATACAGGAATGACGAAAACCTGAGAGGAAAGGATGGGCGGAAGGCAATCAAAAGTAGGAAGAAGCTAAGAGGAAAGAAAGTGTTGCTGCAGACAGTCCTGTGGTGCTGCCCCGTGGTGCCTGGTGCATGTGACTGGCTATGAAAACCATCTGAAGTTAGCAGAGGGCCTAATACAATCAGTGGGTGCCTGTGGGGCACTGGGAGCTATTGAGGGAAATAACCTTTTGGTTCTGGAGGTGTTCTGACTTGAGAGGGGTACAGTGCCTGACTGAGTATGGGCCTAGCTTCAAACTGTATTAGCTTCTAATGAAGTCAGGTCATGACCTTCAGATTCAGTAGAACCTGTGTCCCCACGGCAATGTGATGGCTGTCAATAAAGTTCACGGAACTTAAGGTAAAACCGCCAGGGTTTTATCCAATGGTGAAATTGAAAGAATAAAAAGCGTGCCCAAGCTGGCGGAGCCAGGAGTCCAGCCAGTGTGGAGACACCCTTCACGCCGGCTAGCCAACACTTGTGGTGTTGGTATGCTCTGGAGTCCAGCCCGAGGAGGTTCATGGCTTAGCTGAATCCTCCACAACTTCTGTAGGGAAGATAGAGTCCAGGGGCCCAAGAGTTTCCTCGGCCATCATGGCAGTAGCCTCTGGTGTCTTTTCAGCATCCTCTTGGAAGGAAGAAAAATTGTGTTCTTCACTGAAACCTATTTAAAATAAATAAATAAATAAATAAATAAATAAGGTTTACATCCTGACCAGTGGCACTGATTTCGATGTTGAGTGTGGCAGGATTAAAGGTCATCACCAGACCCATCCAGAAAGGGTCCAGATTCTCAGAACAGCCTGTCACTTGCTCCAGTCTGTTTGTGTTACACCTACTATGACATTCAGGGCACTGATGTACACCAGCAAAGCCCAGCCTTGTACAAGAAAACAAAGGAGCACCAGCCACCCCAAGGGAAATCGTGGCAGAGAGGGCCCATCCCAGGCAGAACCACATATAGTAACAACCATCCTTTAGTGGCTGACAGTTTGCCAAGATTGCTTCCTCAAAAGTGGGAGTGGAGCTATTTGTTTTGCTAATTCGGGGTGTTCTTGGTGTTTGCCTAACAGCTTTAGAGAAATTCTCACTAATCGCCCTAATCCATTCCAGAATGCCAGGGGCACTGGCCTAGCCCCTAAGAAGGGGCTGGGCCTCCGGTATCCCAGGGTTCTTTTAGATGGTCTGAAGCGGTTCTGGGGGACTGGAAATAGGAGAGGTCTTCAAAGGTCCCACAGTCAGAATGAAAGACAGATGAGATGATATTTAGAACAATAATATTTGGGCAAGCCATTGTATCACGCAGTAAACAACACAGACTAACTCTAGACTGCCTTTAAAAGTGAATATTAGTTAGCTTCTCTCCGACAGAGACACAAGAAGCTCCCCGTGCAGGTTTACCAAGTTTGGGTTTCATAAGCCATCGGTTCCTTTCTTGGGGAACCTCATCCTCTCTGTGGTACCGCATTAGAATCAACATGCTGCCTACTTGTGGGAAGCGAAACAAGTTGTTTTCAGAAGGAACACATCTGCCTTTAACTTCCAGGGACGGCCCCGCAGAAACCTTAAGTATAATTTGGGCCATAACAAAAGGCAGGCTTGGAGATTCCAATCAATTAATTCTATTGAAAAGCACCAAGCAGCCCATTCAGCCAGGAGAAGGGTGGTGAGAGTCTTAAGCATTCAGGTAAATAGATAATCCATTAAGCCAACAATGGACATTGTGGCGGTGCCATCCTGCTCTTGTCGCGCTGATTCGCAGTCTTTGGATTGTCCCGCCCTCCTGCTGGGGGACTTCTGTTCCCTCCCTTCCACTCTTTGTTCCCTTATTCAGGGCGAAGGGAAAACAAAGCGAGAAAGCAGCGCCTACCCCGTGTTCCACTCCGGATGAGTTCTTCCTCTATAGCGAGAAGGCGGTTGTATTTGGTCACTCGTTCGCCCCGAGAAAGACCCCCCAACTTGATAAACCGGGCGCCGAGTCCAACAGCCTGAAGTGGGGAAAACAACTTATTTTAAACAGGAGAGTTTTGGTTTTGAGCAGCCCTTTAACGAGACAGGGAACCGCTGCAGGACGCTGTTGGTGTGTGTGTGTGGGGGGGGGGGTTCTCTTCATCTTTGTGGGAGTAAAGTGGCCTGCTGGCAAGCTGAGCACTGAAGGGCAAACAGATGGTGTGCCTGACAGACCATCAGGCACTTTCCGAGCCTTGAGAGTGCGCCGATTTCATCGGAACACGGCCTGGCCTTTTGCACCCCGTCTCGGGCGGGGAAGGGGGGAGATTGCAAGTGTACACCCCAGTCATTTTACTGTGCCCGCCATTTTCCCTGAAGTTCAATTTTGCCTCTTTTAAAAAGTTCAAAGATTAGCGCTTTGCAAAAGGGAGCTGTCTGGGAGGAAGCAAGTCTATTTCATAAAAGGTTACTCGACATTCTCCACCAAAGACTGCATTTCCCTGAAATACCGATTCATCATAAAAGCGGTGTTTTGGCAATTCCACAATTGACCATCACGCTGCACTTACCAGATCGACAAGGCTGTCATCAGAGGACTCTGCCTCCGTGCTCCCGAAGACCGCAAGCTGCCTTTTACCTGCAAGAGCAGCCCCCGTCAGTCACG